GGGGCTTGCGGGTGTATACAAGAGGGCGGGGCTTGCGGGTGTATACAAGAGGGCGGGGCTTGCGGGTCTATACAAGAGGACGGGGCTTGCTGGTGTATACAAGAGGGCGGGGCTTGCTGGTGTAAACAAGAGGGCTGATGTTGTTGCCAAGGTCCTGAGTCGCCTCAGCAAGTGAATAATCATTTTTCAAGAAGGGCGTAGCTGTGAGTCCTGTTTACTGTCAATGTTTAATGTACCTCAGTCACGCTACATCACGGCAAACTAAACTACACATGACAGTCATGGATACGTCTCTCTGCATTCCGAACAGCCGGAGGTTGGCTAACAGCAAAACCCAAGAGAACGACGCTAACACTGGCGATTTCTGCTCAGTTACGCTTCTCGCAGCTGGTAAAATGAATGAAATCACAAAACAATAAAATATACAGTGATCCAAATGAGTCGCAGAAAGCAAAGAATGTGATTTTAATGGTATATCTAGCAAAGCCTGGACTGTGAGGAATTCATTTGTGGTTTACAACGTTTTAAAGTGCGCTGTAGGTTCCCATGGTGTGTGTATCTCCACCAGGCCGGTATGTCAAGCTGACAAAATTGTCATTACAACCATATGAAAAACTGGAAACTGAGGGGTTTCAAAAAACAAATATGTGCGCATACTGAAATCATCAATACTGTGACAGACATTGATAATTAGTCCAAGAAATATTGTTTTTGGAGAATAGAAGATTGAACATATTAATCAGATACGTACATAAAAAATATATTTGGCAAAACAGTATGTGATATATTTAAAGGATGAGGGTGATTCCAAACGAAAATTAGGTCTTTTGCCAAGGAATTTAGCTAAAATATTTTTAGCCTTTTTAAAGAAGACATTTTTGAGGCACTTCAAATTATGTCGCAAGTTCTCAAAATTCTGGTGCAATCATTTCTTTCACTCATGTCAAAAACATAACAATTAAAATAAATTATGCAGGTATAAATGCATAATTTGCTTTTCCCCCAGCTTTTTAGTCTACCTTTTATCCTTTTTTTTCCTACCCCAGCCCTCGATATTTCTGAGATCTCATTTTGGCAAAGAAAATTATATGAAATTGGATAAAAATAAAGAACGAACATGAAACCTCTATCCCATCCACGGTGACCTCAGCCTTGTGCCCTGTGCTGCCTGGAATTGGCTCCAGCACCCCCCCCACCGACCCTGAGCAGGGTAAGCGGTTAGATGACAGGTGGATGATGGGTATGTGGAGGGACGGACATAAAACCCATTAAAATTAAATGAAGAATAACAGCAAGCCGGCTTGGCATTCTTGTCAGGGTCCCTGTTCCTCCTCTGTGTCCCGGTGACTCTCAGGTTTGCTGATTATCGCTACCAAGCTGGCGAATGAAGGCCCCAGGTCGTCAAGGTAACTGTGGTCCTCCTCTACCTCCGCCGTCAAGGATTCGATGGGACTCAGGGACCCCGCCAATGAGCCGTCGCCCTCATAGCCGTAGGTGGCCAACGAGTCGTATGGAGGGGGGGCGCTCTCACTGGGGCGTTCGACCAGCCTCTGGTGGATGCAATCCCGCACATCCGGGACGTCCTGTTTGGGGGGCGCCCAGGCACGCCCGCTGGAGTGTAGCTGGGCCTCTGCCGCGTCGGGCTTCCTCAGGGCACCTATGTCGAAGGCACGTGTGTCCTCCTCCCCGCCCCCTTCGTCGTCATAGCGAATGACGTTCTCGCGGATGTCCCCGTCTCCCGGCACTGCCGACACCGCGCTCTTCCGTCGCCGCCTGAGAGCGACATACAGCAGCACAGTCACTGCGAGGGAGGAACACCAGACAAGCCCGGGTTTGTACTCGCGTGTGCCAGCAGGGGGCATGAGCATCCAACACAGCTAAAAACATGACACCTCCAATGTCGCCTCCATGTGGAAAGATGACGTCACAACAGGACACTTCCTTAACGAGTGGAGATGGGAACATAGTAACAGAACGTCCTTCATGGAAGAATCTCCGAATGCTAAGAATACTGTGTCAAAATGCTAATATTAAGACCAAACAGGAACCAAAAACGATACATTCTCTGCATTATCCCAATGTTATTTTTATATCCCTTTTTCATCCAGGCTATTCATTTTTGTGACTCTACCACCACCTAGTGGCAGAGGTTTGTCACTGCAGAGCAGCATTTTCTTTTCTCACCCAGGAGGACGGCTGCTCCCAGAAGGACGGCGAGGAGTGCGCCTGTGCTTACACCCGCAGGGAAGAACACGGCCTCAGCGCTGCAGGATATGAGGCTCCCGTCGCGGCCGCAGGAGCAGACGCGCACAGTCAGGGTACCAGTGCTGCTCAGGCGGGGGTAGCCCCTATCGACCACCACCACGGGCACCAGGTAGCGGTCCAAAGCTCGGCGCCTGAAGCCGCTCCGCTGCGTCAGGATGCCTGCAGTGTTGTCTGCCGACCAGCAGGTGGTGAACATGTTCAAAAAAAGGACCATGAAACCCATTAGATGCTGCAGATAATGGAAAGATGGCAGAAGGTGGTGTAATGGTTAGGAAGCTGGACAAATGTGATTCACCACCTCATCAGCCAACCCTAACCCTAACCCTAATCCTAACCTGCAGGCTTCACTGCAGTCAACTGCAGATAATGAAATAACTCCGTCTCAGAAACACGATCTCACTTAAGCACAGGTACATAACTTACAGCAAATATTTAGGGGTGTGGTTTTCCAAGTGTTTGCCGAAAATTGTTGCTTTTCTTTTAGTTAGGATCGTAGCATTAATTTAGTCTTTAATTTAGTACACAGCAGTGGTACAGTGCAGTGTTTAAAATCTGTACTCCATACCAAACCTAGTGGAGCGCAGCATCCCTACTATACTTCTGCTGTTATTTTGGATAAAGATTGCAATCCAGCTTTAAGCCCTAAACATACTAAATGTATACTTAAGTCCTTACTTGCAAAGTCCCAGACAGTAAAATTTTCATTTTTAATGTCCCCTGGCAGTGATCTGAAGGTGAACCTTTGTCCTGTGGGTGACAGGTCCTTGTCCTGAGCAGAGATGGTGCCAATGACCTAAAAAGGAACAGCAGGGACAGGCAGAGTCAGAGATGTGCGTGTGCTACTTCTCTTGCCGGTTTGAGGCCCATGACACTGATTAATCACCAAAGCGAACCTCCAGAGTGCCGTTCCTCCCGGCAAAACCCAACCGCCTGGTAGTCACAGGGAGGCGCGATGACAACCGCGACCTGAATGCAGAGCGTCTGCCGACAGCCGTTGAATATGCAGCGGGATATGAGATGAGAATGGCGCCTGGGAGACTTTGCACTTTGAGAATTACCCCTCAAATAATAATATGGTCTGAGAATGCTTCAATTACCCTGGAGAATATACAGTATATGCAACCATGCCATATATCTCCTCTGCGGCATCCGTAGCGTGAATGAGTGTTTCAATCGTTTCAGACTAAATGAAAGTCAAAAAGACAACATGCGGGCCAAATACATTTGGTTAGAATAACAGCTTTTAGTGAAAATGGAGGATTTTGATGTCTGAATACTATAGATCAGTTTACAAATACATGGAGAGCAGGCATGTTCTGATGTTATCACTCTCTGTGACGATGCCTCAGGGCAAAGAGTGTATTATCACTCTGTGTGCTGCATCGGATGGGGTTAGGAGTTCAAATTCCTCCAAGATCAATCAGGGAACAAACTTCACCCCCCAACCCCCCTACCCCAGAATAACTAAAAACGTCCCCTGACAGCAGGTGGCAACCACTTTTCCCTCTTCTAAGCACGTCCTCTGAGTTCATGGTAATAGCGTTTTCATTCTTTTCACATAATTTCATATCCTTTTGGCTTTATTAGGACTTAACCTTTTAAGCATGATTTATTACTTGCATTTGTGCAGAAACAGACCTGCCCGGATTTGGAGTTTTCACAAACAAAAGTCTTGTAGGGTGTGATGAGTTCGGGAGCAAACTCATTAACATCCAGCACGTGGATGGTGACCGTGGCTTGCATGGAAAGGTCCAGATTCCCTGCAGGATGAATACAAACATCGTCAGACATCATTGTGCACATCGAGCCGTTTGAGGGAAGACAAAGGCTGAAATGAAACGTCCCTTAAAGAACTGAAAGTAAATCAACAAATTAATGAATAGCCAGAATATTTTAAACTCTGGCAGCGGTTCCTATATTCTTCTAAAGGACCATTTTTTATCTGACTGGTTTGACTGGAAAAGATTAAAATCTATCTCACTCCAGCTCAGTGTAAATATCCTTTAATGGACCATATTGGTCAGAGGTGTCGTGTCCTTCCTCCACGCCTGCCTGACCCTCCTCTCTCCTCCCTCATGTAGTCCTGATGCTTGTTGCCCATTGTTAGTCTTTATATTTAAGAACCTGCTTGTCTCGTCGTCGCTAGTTCGGTAACTGATGTCAAGCCCTTGTGTTGCCTGTTTCCTCCCTTGCTTCACTCCTCCCATGTTTGATCCCATGCCATCTTGGTAATTTCCAGTCATTGTTTTTTTTATTTCAATAAACGTCCCTTTTTGTTTCGCCTAAATGCCTGCCTGTGAGTGTTTCATCTCTCGTTACATGACAAGAGGCACCAGGTGCATCCAGGTAGAAGGGATAATACCTCCTCTTCTTTGAGATTAAATTATGAAACAAATAACTTTGAAAGAAGTCTTTAATATATTATTTAAATTTTAATTACATTATAAAACACATTTTCTCACATTTGGAAAAAAAATACTATTGTAATATTGTAAAATGAGAGGCCAACAATCACCGTGAAAAGAGTGAAGGTGTCAGATTCAGCCATATGAAGAACTTTGCATAACACTGACTATTGGGGAGTGGTAACGAAGTTACATAAAACTTTTTTTTCTGGGAGTAGGGAGTAGTGATGGCCAAAACGACGCTTCATGAACCAATTGCTATATTTTCTGAACCCACTAGATGGTGCTCCTGGTCTACTTTGGGGCATGCTTTGAACACCATAGTCGGGAGTAGTGAGCCACAGCCAACATGCGGCTGGGCACAGCACAGCACAAATACAACAGATTATGGTACAGTATGTGGAGGGGCACTGAAAGCACCATGTATACAGTTTATGAAAAGCAAATGTAAGTGAATTAAACATTGCTGTGTTTTTATATGATCATTTGTAAAATATTTTTAGAGATTCTTGAATATTTTTAGATTGTGCAATGTGTGGATGTACAAAAAGTTAGATTCGTTTACAAATCGGACATCACCATTGTTCACCTGGATGGCTGTTTTTGAGTGCAAGTAATGTTTCCCACTAAGACCATATCGCTTTGTAGGTCGTGTAGTATGGTAAGCCAAATTGTCTTTTATAAGGCCTAGTCCTAATTCCTTGATTTCTACTAGTATAAATAACATTCTAACTAATAAAAAATCAATTTTTACTAGTTAGACTATGAATTACAGATATTTAGAGTTCAATTTACAAATCATGATTTTTATAAGCAAGAATAGTATTGTTACTAGTAAAAATTCATTTGAAAGATGTCTATAACTCTTTTAAAAATTTGAGGTCCACTTATCCATAATTCAGTTCTTGCTAGTAGAAATGTCAGTGCAGATATCTGTATTTACATTTTTACTAGTAGAAATTTGCATTCAAGATATGTGTTATTGCAGATGGCTAAAACATAACTGCAGATATATGTAATTCCATTTTTACTAGTAAAAACAGAGTAATTAATATGTCGATCTGGATTGTTGGCTAGTCAAAATCAAGATGTACATATCTACAGTATAACTTCTTACTAGTAAAAATGGAATTTGGGATATGAGAAATTCAATGAAAATTAGTGACAATATATGACTAGTAAAAATTAATTATACGTATCTGTAACACAATTATTTTTAGTAGAAACACAATCCCTAGTAGTTAAAATAATAATTATTACTAGTAAAACAATTGCAGATATCTAGGATTCAAATTCTTACCAGTAAAACAGAATTTTTTATTAGTTAGAATTTTTTTTTTTTACTAGTAAAAATCAAGTTATTATGACTTTTCTCTCCAAATGTGACTCTGTGTTGTATTGGACTTGGGAACTAATATACCAGTCGCGTTGAAATACAGATTCGTGGTGTGACATCATGCATTGTGGCAGGACCGACTGTATTCTCAAAGCACAAATAAATACAAGCCACTGTCTTGCATACAATCACAGCTACTTTTCAATATACAATTAATCCCCTAAAATTGTTAGAGATGTCAAGTGATTGTCAGACACATAGAAAGGTTACAGCTTCTCATTTGTTGAAAAGAAGAAACCCTGATCCCAGCAGGTTCTCCATCCTACCGGGTCTCTGATGAGCCACACCTGGTCTCAGCCAGATAGTAACTCATCCGGTAGGATAGAAAACCTGCTGGATACCGGCGCTCCAGGATCAGGGTTGCCTACCCCCAGGTATATATCCTGTCAGATGTTAGAACATTGGCAAAGATATACTTCTCCACTAGATGGTGCTACAACACGACAAGAAAGCTGTGTGTAGGACAGTGTTTCTCCATTCGGTCCTAAAAAAACCCCAGTCCCAGTTTTTCCCAGAAGACGAGGTTGAGAAACACTGGTGTAAAACTAGATAATTGGTTAGAAAGGATTAGTTGTAGAAGCTACAGCTACAGATAAGGAATTGTGAGGTTAGATAGCACATGTGCTTTCATACTTACTAACTTTAGTTGCCACTATGGAGATATTGTACTCTGTGGTCTGCTCTCTGTCCAAGGCTTTCGTGGTGGAAATAGTTCCCTTCACTGGGTCTATTTCAAAAGAGCAGTTTGTGTCCTCCATACAGTCCATGGAATATCTGAAAACAGATCCAGAATGCGTTATAGGCATGCAAGTATCAACCAGGACACTGCCGAGTTTTTCACTGGTGTCAGAGATGGGAGAGAAATCAAGCCATCTCTTCCACGGTTTAAAATGGCCTCTACTATTTGATTCAGTAACAACTCAACGTGGATCTCAATATTTTTTTTATTTCTTGTGACTCCATGCACTGTTTGCCACCTCTCAAACCACACATTTGTGTAGAACAGCAAAGGTTGGGGGCCCCCTGCTGGCCACAAGCAGTCACTATACTAGGGTGGGCAGGGGGACCCAAAGTAACTTTTCGATTGGTGCCCCAGAAACAGAAAAACGGCCTCTGAAGCCACTCTCATCAATAATAAATTGACATTACGCACAAGCTATCCTTTACATTACTCGTGTGAAAGGTCAACTTAAAAAACAGACTAATTAAGCAAAATAAATAGACAAGTTGAATAAATTGACCTATTAATAAAAATTCCTGTCGTATGACTGATGGTTGAAGCGTTAATTAAGAGAATACAGGAACCACGAGTCTGACATTTAACTGCGGTTAAGGAGTGTTTCTGAGTTGTGTGGTGAAATGAGTGTCATACTCTTATAGGTAGAGTGTTTGGCTATCGACTTATGCATTTAGAATTGTGATCAGTGGTCATTGTTGACACGCCACAGCACAAAACAACAAAACGTGTCCTCTGCATGTAACCTATATGTGACGTCGGGACACAGCAGGGGGCAGCTAATTCAGTGCCCGCGGAGCAGTGCTTGGGGGCAGTACCTTGCTGGTCAGGGATTCGAACCAACAATCTTTCACAACTGCAAGCGCACTTCCCTAACCATTAAGCCACCACTGCCCACGCATTCATACAGTACCTGTGTGGGAATAGAGGTGGACATCTCTCATCAGGTGCAGGACTGCATTTCAGGTTACCCAGTATGACTGACACTTGGATAATTACAATACCCACAGCAAAGCACCGGACTTTGATGTTTCGCCGACCGTCTCTCTTCAAATTGCTCAGTCTCTGATTTAATTTATATTCAATATGAACAAAAGCAGGCAGTTTCCCAGAAAATAATGAGACTCTGTTTCTTTTACAGCGCGACTTTAAATCACCCATGTCGCTGACAAGCCTGAATTAATAGGAATGTTTTATGAAAGTTTAAGTAACATAAAAAGTGGTGGGTGCGTTAAAGTTTTTCTTTCTGAATACTAATGTCGGAGTCGTCGTACGCATGTTCTGCAAGCTGCACTTTATTCCTTACACCTCTGCACAGTCTCTGCGGTGCAAAAGAACGATAGCTACTGCAACAAGTGTAAAGTTTAAGGTGTGAATCCTGTGTGACAAAATGACAGCTGCCGCTTTCTCCGCTTTTCTCCAGACGGCATTCATGTTGTTTACGATCATTGTCTTTCCCGTGTCGCACTTTTCCCCAGAGAGGCGTCGTACCAGCCCCGGGACTCTGCGGAAATATATAAAAACCTATATGCCGATGTCTAAGTCACGGCTAAGGAGTTATTTATTTATTTATCAATCAAGCCACATATCATTTTATTTATTTGTTTTAGTTAGTTTGAAAGGTGCAGCCAGTGTGAAATAGCTTGAGTTTATACTGACATTGCGCAAGTGCCGTTCTCAGTTTGTAAATAATCTCAGCTTACCCTTAAAAGTAGGGAAGGGGGGTTTCTGATAGTAAAACAGGCTGAAGGGGACAGGGTGGGGGAGTGGGTATGGTACAATTTGTCGAGCCCCCCCCCACCCGTGTCTGGAATTTTCTCCCCCCCTTACGGGCAGCCCTGACTATAATCAGTTTTAGACAGTTAATATGAATTGTTAGCTCTATCGATAACCATAGCCCCGCCTTTTAGGCAGTACGTTCCCGGCGATGATGTAACGGTCACCTGATTGGGCTGGCCCCCACGTCCAGGTCCTGAGCACTCACGGCTCCGATAATGATACCCGCGGGGGCGTTTTCATACACGTCCATGTCGTACGCTGGCTTGCCGAACGCCGGCGGCTCGGCCACATCCACCACGCTGATCCGGACGGTGGCGGAGTCCCTGAGCGGGTCCGGGTGCTGGAACCTCCCGTCTGTGCTTGGGTTAGATGCCTCCACTTTGAAGATGTGGACACTTTTCTCTTCAAAGTCCAGCCGCTAAGACATGAAAGCAGGAAGGATATGCAGTCATACTGATACAGCAAAGACTTATGGGAAATCATACACAAGGATTCCTTTCCATCCTTCATGCCATGAAGTGTTGCACAGTAGTCAGGTCCTTGACATATACTGTATTTGTTATTTGCATCAGTCTTTATATTAACTAGATTTCCAGCTGCATTTGATGTTTGGTGAAACTCATGCATAGCATGAATAAGCAGACCAGGTAATGTAAACTTATTATAAGTGAATGAAATTCTCTCTGCACTGAGTAAATTGCTTTCTCTGGTGTGGAACTTGTTTCATCAGCATTACAAAGACAAGCAAACTTGTCTGTAGCTCAACATGTCAAAAGAAGCACAGCTTGGGGGAAACAGTAGGATTGCCTTCGGAATTTGGGAATATTTTTAAATAGGTATTGTTCCCTCAGCACTAGAGGCCCATTTTGGGGTTCGGTCAGAGGCGAGTTGCCCAGAGTTGCCTTTATGTATCACATGGGCCATTTCAAGCCCACCCCGAGCACCTTATGATCCCATGGGGCCACCTCATGATCACCTCATTATCATGACATGAGCATAACATGAGCACCTCATGATCACCACATGATCACTTCATGAGCACCTCATTATCACCACATGATCACCTCATGAACACCTCATGACGTTTTAAAACATTCTGCACTCAAAGCATGGTGAAGAACAGTGTTCACCACGCAGATAAATCCTCCAAGGGTGCCTTAGATGGACAACAGCAAAATCCTGAAGCCCCGAGGTATGCCAAGATCTCATGCCAAGCTCTGGCTTTGCGACAGATCTGCAGAACGAAACGGAGGCTGAGGGGCACTGTGACGATTTAAGCAGGCCGGGATCCCGAAATGACTCACTTCAGGAAGCCCCCCCATGAGGGTCATAACTGGAAGCCTTGTCAGATTCAGGCTCAGGAGCTCCCCGACAGAGGGTCTCCTGGCTGCGCAGGAGAGGGGCTGAGCTGTTTATCTATCTGCAGCACCCTCCCATTTGCTCTCGGCTCCACGGCGCCACCTGCCAGGCCTCCGTCCCACTCGCCCCCAACTGCTAGCTGCTTTGTTCCTCTTTGAGGCATCTGTCAGCGATTCGCTGGGCTGAGGTCCGGTAGACAAGCCCAATCTCTGCAGTTCACAGACGTTTTGGTGGATTTGTCTCCAACTGATGCAGAGCATTGTACTTGTGAAGGTCTGCATATTATCATTCTAATCATCTATCCATCCATTCATTCAACCAGTCATCCATCTATCCATCCATATGTGTATTTTTATTAGTAGTTTATCCAGCTGAGATTGCAGTAATTCGAATGATATCCTGGGAAGCAGAGAGCAGAAGGTTGGACTGACCACCAGCGTATTGTGCCTTTTATTACCTCACAATGCATTGTGCCTTTTATTACCTCACAATGCATTGTGCCTAACACAGTGTTAAAAAAAACTCTGCCAAGTCAGTAGAGCACATTGATAATGGCTGGTCATAGAATTTTGTTTTTGATGTATGATTGAAGCCTACAGACCAGGCCCAAAATTCACCTCGTTATCAATTTTCAGGCAGGCAAGCAGGGGTCCTTTTAAAGTAAAAAAAAAAATAAACAAAAACCATTTGTTTAGATATAAAACAGAGATTTTTGATAATGGCTAAAAGTGGGGAAAATGAACTGCTAATCTGACACGGTCACAGTCTGGCTGATTCCAGACAGCCTGAAAATTGCATGCATTCTTAGTTTTATTCTGCTTTTTTTGTCAGATAAACGCTTGGAAAAGAAAAATAGTGAACATTTGCTGAAGGAATGAGACACAAACATGCACACACGCACACGCACAAATTTTAATGGCCTTTTTTTATCACATAAATAGTTATTACATCTCAATGGGCAGGTTTCTGGACAAGAAAGACTAGCAACAACAGACTTGATGCTTCTTTCAAGGACTGCTGTACAATAATTGTCCCAACCCACGCGAGAAACACACCAGACTCCATAATTGTTCAATTAAATTGGATTCTGTTTTACTTGTTCACTACTCTGTCTGAGATTATTTATCATCTATTACAATAGATTTTTTATATATACTGTGTTTATTTATTAAGCTGTAAAGTTCTAGAGGTTTGTTCATTTTTGAGAATCGTTTAGTGTTATTAAGGTATCATAATAAACCTGTGCACCCCAGGACCCAACCAACCTCTCGGAGGGTGATAATCCCCTCTTGGGTTTGCTCATCAGTGGTGATCTCGAACATGCCTCCCCCATCCCCAGGAACGATGGAATACTCCACTTCTGCATTCTTCCCCACATCGAGGTCATTAGCTTTGACTCGTCCCACTGCTGAGCCCGTGGGTGACGATTCCAGGACCCTGAGGTGGAAAATACCTTTCGCAAGGTAAACCGGGAGCAGCAATTTAACAAAGTCGTACACAAACACTGACCGAACGTACAGTAATGAATACTCCATGTTTAAAATAATTGTACAGGTGTTACAAAAAAAAAGGAAAGTTTTAATTATGTTAACATATTTTGGTTAGTTCTATTATGTTTCATGTTGTGGACGTCTCACAGGAATGCGTCCGACACTTTTCTCCCAGCGTACTTTTGGAAAACCTGGGCGGGTTGTCGTTGACGTCTGTGAGGCTGATGTTGATGGTGGTGGTCCCGGCCAGACCTCCCAGCTGACCCCCCATGTCCTTGGCCTGGATCAGGACGTAGTAGTTCTCCCTTACCTCCCTGTCCATGTTGGGCAAGGCGGTCCTGATCACCCCTATGGAGGCATCGGCAAGACTAAAGTTTTACTGTAACAGCAGTGTAATACAGGACAAACAGCAGTGCAATACAGGACAAACAGCAGTGCAATACAGGACAGACAGCAGTGCAATACAGGACAGACAGCAGTGTAATACAGGACAGACAGCAGTGCAATACAGGACAAACAGCAGTGTAATACAGGACAGACAGCAGTGTAATACAGGACAAACAGCAGTGTAATACAGGACAGACAGCAGTGCAATACAGGACAGACAGCAGTGCAATACAGGACAAACAGCTCTGCAATACAGGACAGTCAGCAGTACGATACAGGACAGACAGCAGTGCATTAGAGGACAGACAGCAGTGCAATAGAGGAGAAACAGCAGTGCGATACAGGACAGTCAACTGTGCAATAGAGGCCAGGGAGCAGTGAAATATAAGAAGTGAAATAATAAATATGCAGTAAATAAGTGGTACATTGGGGAAGGATGTGCCGAAAGCCACAGAGGTAGTACAGCACTGATAAAGTGCAGAAGTTGAATATTAATATCAACGTGTGATACAATGCAGCAAATAAAATGCACTGTGGCTGATTCCATATACAGTACTGCTGTGCGAAATGCCATTTGTCGAGACCAGAACATCAGCACGATGCTTTTCAGGGTGAGTCCTCATGGGAGCCGTGTGAGTTAAGTACTGCATGCCACCCCCGAAAAAAGTTTCCCCACTGAAAAAAAAGACATTACTGCCAGTGTGCTGGTAATCGCCCTCGCTGTGCTGCTCTCAGATATAACACTTTTACATTAGAAGCGGTCAGCGTTGCCATGGAATCGGGGTAAGGATTTCCCTAAGCTGAACCATTCACCCATTAAGGTTGTCATGTGGAAAATGACTCATTTAAATCTGAAAGCAGAAATGTACATCAGCTTTTCCGAGCGTACAGATGCTTCTCGCTTCTCCGTGCTTCATAACCAAGTTGGTCGGATGGAACTGACACCCTGTAGCTCGCAGACGGAGGATAAACACTTACAGGAAGTAGAATGTTCCTGCCCCGAGCTGGGAGCCCCTTTAAAGTGCGGTTTAAGCTAGAGACAGAGCTGCAAGCGGCAGGAAGCTTCCATAACACCGTTTCTCAGATGTAGTTCATCTCAGTAGGGTACCTACCTGTCTTGGCGTCAACTGAGAAGTAAGGCTGTCCATGCAGGATGCTGTAGACAACCTGGGCGCTGTTCCCGTAAGTGGGATCATCGGCGTCGGTGGCTGTCACCTGGATCACATAGGTACCTAAACAGCACAAAGCACATTGTAATCCTAAACCCAGGGAAGCTATGCCCGCAACAGGGCCAGTGATCCGATTAGGCAGCACAGGGCGGCCGTCCAGGGCGCCATCGTCTCAGGGGGCGCTGACTTAGTGAGCCAGATGGTGCTCTTCACGAGGCTTGCTGGGTAGGCTGGAAATGAAGCTAGTCTCGGGGGTGGGGTGGGGGGTGAAGCTTTCGTAGGACTTCACATAGGGTTGAACCGGCACTGCCCTTAATCAGCGCAGTGTGCCTTACAGATACGAGCTGCAGACTGACCCTGCACCCAAGTTCCACTCAGTCCCTGTTTTCATCATCTAAGCCTGAACACGGCCAATAGTCATGGTTTGTGTGTCCCTCGCATTATGCGGAAGCAGTGCTGAATGCAGTATTACTGATGATGATGATGGTGATGATAACAGAGATGATGGTGATTATGATGAAGGTGATGGTGCTGATGGTGGTGATGATGATGGAGATGATAGTGATGATGAGGGTGATGATGACGGTGATGATGGTGATAATGAGGGTGATGATGACGGAGATGGTGGTGATGATGAGGGTGATGAGGTAGATGATGGTGATGATGATGGAGATGAGGGTGATGATGATGCTGATGATGATAGTGACAATGATGGAGATGATGGTGATGATGATGATGATGATGATGGTGATGATGCTTGAGGTAAAGTAACAATCAAATTATGTAATATTTGTGTGGTGATGCGTCATATGTATTCGGTGACAGTACTGATGATACAAACCATCCAAATACTATTAAAGCACCATAATCAGAGGTTGTGATTGTCAGCAGACAGTGAGTGACTTCTAAAAGGCTGTTTACTGCCAAGGGTCCCAGTGCAGAAAGCAGCCTTAAAATCAAAGTATTTACTGTAACACGACTGGGAAGATCTGGGATCGGGGAGGTCGAAGAAACCACCTCTGAACATGATGTTGTCAAGATGTTTGATTGTGTCACATGGAGCTCCTAAAATGGAAAATACAGCCAGAGAACTGTGAAACAGCAGGTCCCGAGGAAGCCTTTCTGGGGATAATCGAATTGAAATTGGAAATGAATTGCAGTCTTCCTACTGAATCCCCAATCCACCATTATGGAAGGGGGTCACGGCCCCCTCGCTTTTCCAGCTGAGAATTTTAGTAGGGTGAGATCGGCTGACATTCTCAGACTTTTGGGACATGTCCGTCTTTGATGAGCTTAATTAATAAATGCAATGATAGCAACTCATCCCCAGTAATGCCAACTTTAATACCAACTGTTATGCTAATGCTTCAGTATTTTATCAATTATAGTAGTGATCTTGTGGGGTGAAATCATCCCAGTTGGTTTTCCAGTCAGTTTCACGTCAAAGCACTTCTACTTGGGATGCTTTTGCCCTCCCAAATCCTGCCCGTATTTCTGGAAACTTCCAAACCGATTCACCGTGAGGCTCTGCACTTCACACGCTGTCACATGGAGGCAGGAGTGCTGGATGGAAAAAAACGATCCCTCTACTGCATGAAGACAGTGTCAGTGACACTGTAACAGCTGTCAGGCCGGGAGCTGCTGTTATCTCTCGGTGCACGCAAGCGCCTGGGCTGTGTCCTCATTACGCCTACGGTTTAAAAGAGCCAACCTGAAAGTGGCCCAAGGACACTGTACTCTGATACATTTGTAATGTTTCTACCACGTTTTACCTTGATTTTAAGTGTGTCTGGCTCATCGCTGGTGAAAGAATAGGCGAAACTATTCCGACACTAAAACAAGCGAGCGTGGTGAGTTGAGGTTGGCTGATTGAGCAAGCCTACCCGCATGTCACCAATTTACACTTAACACATGGCGGCACTTTATAAAAGGAACGTTTTTGGGTTAGCTCCACCCCTTTCGGTTCAGATTTGGGACGTCTGTCTTGGCTATGGCGTCAATAGCTCAGGCGATCGTTACCCTTCTCGGCTTTGAGCTGCCGCACTCGTGGAATATCTGATATCGGATGGCTACAGCTGAGAGGGGAGCAGAGGACAGCCACAGTCTCCTGTGAGCTTCTGTCGTTGGAGCGATCAGAAATCATTGCTGCTGTTTTTGCCTCTGTTGTTCCCGGTGCTCACCCACCCCGTGTCCGGGACGCCCTTTCAGTCAGAAAACACACCGTCTGCTGTGTTTCGCAGGACTATCCTACCACCACACACGCTTCTATATTAATTCTCCGCTTGGTTGTTGTACTCCATTGCAGAAGCATTGGTACTGTAATTTAAGTACAGTATTAGGTTACTTGTTAGGAGGTGATCAGTATCGTACCTTTTGTATTTGCTGTTGTATTTCTATCATGCATCTAATACAGACTTATTATATTGATTAGCGGTCTTGTCTTTTGCCAGGTTGAGTGACGGACCGGGGATGGGCTCTGCAGTCCTGGGGGTGGGGCCTCGCATCGTGCTTGGCTGCCTTGGGATTGCACTGCCATTGTGTGTGTGTGTGTGTGTGTGTGTGTGTGTGTGCATGGGTGGTGAGGCTTGTTTATTTGATTTATTTTTCCTTGAGGCAAAGTGGGAGGCAGGGTACCCCTGCCAGAAACTCTCCACTAGTAAGTCCTAGCCCAGGTAATGCGTGTCACCGCTGCAGTATCTGATGTCTTGTTTTTTTAGTAGCTGAGATGTAGCTGTGTGGTTTACCACCCTGCCATAGTCCTGCTTCTTGTACTGCTTTTAAAATAAATATATATTTTTGTATTTCAACCACGTCTCTTGCTCCCGGTTTGTCGGTGGGTCGAACCTGAGAGATTTAGGCTAGGAGGAGAACCACTTCAGAAGTTCTCTGGGTTAAAGTTACGGGGAGCTGTAGACGATTACCTTGGTGGCCAGATTCCACCCTCTCACTGCAGTTTGCTACCTACCACGTTGCCACACAAGCAAAAATATACAAGAAAGCAAATAAGCATATTAAGAGTAACAATCAAATATTTGTGGGTACCATAAATATGCTGCACAGAAGCAGGAACTCAGATTCCTCACAGAGATATTACTTTTAAAACCAAACTAAGGAAATGGTTGCAGAGGACTCCTTCAGCTTAATATTAACAAATCAGCAGATAAGGCTCTTCCTGAAACGCACATCAATGACAAACATGCGTCCTTCCATTACAAGCCAGCATCGCTTTCTTTTATTCATTTAAATGTCTTTTCATTCTGACGAATGAAACTTTTTCTCTTTTATAATGACCAACCAAAGTCACGTTCCCTCAGAGGAGACAAAGGCAATGTCAGCGTGAGGTAATTTAGATGATAATTTGCATGCTAGCTAGCTGGTTCTGACAATACTGCGGCTGCAGGTTTTAAAAATGGAACTGGGAAAATGGCAGATAAAGCAGCCCATGCCGGCATGTGTCCCCAAAGGATTCTATCTGTTACACCAAAGTATGAATAAATATGCAAAACATCACTCTATGCTACGTCCCTGTATATGTGTGTAAATCCTGTGCAGAGGAACTGCATGCCTGATTCAGGGAGAGATCCTACCTATTGGTGCCATTTCCGGGACTCTGGCGGTGTACGGACCCTCCAGGAATCTGGGCTCGTTGTCGTTGATGTCCTGGACCTTGACGACGAACTCGGACTCCTCCTCCAGGAGCCGCCCCGTCGCCATGTCGATGGCCTGGGCCCGCAGGGTGTAGAATGGCCTCTCCTCCCGGTCAAGCCTCCGCACGGCATGGATGTCGCCAGTGGTCTGGTCGATGGTGAAGATGGAGCCGGCCCCCTCCCCGGAGAGGGTGTACTTCACCACGCTGTCCCCTCTGTCCAGGTCGGTGTGGAGCTGCGACAGGTCCGGTAAACATCAGCATGAAGGAGAATAGCTGTGTGGACTGGGAGGTGTGGACAACTGCCCAGATTCATCCATGATTATCTATCTATCTATCTATCTATCTGTCTGTCTGTCTGTCTGTCTATCATCTTATTCATCTGACAGCTGTAGTGTGTGGACAAAAGACAAAGCGCTAAACTTTCCACCAGCGACTTCACTAAACTTAAGTTGGTTGTTAAAATTATATTGGAACAAAAAAAAAAAAAACGTCTGCTCACAGAGAGCAGAGGAATCTACCAGGACGAAATGTTCTCCCACTCCTTAATCATGGGGGAATATTGAATGATTTTTAATTAAAAATGCTATTAGGTAATCAGTCCTAATCCATTGAATAAAGGGATTCATTACTGGGGCACCATCACAGGGGTAAACTGTCTATACACCTGGCGATTCTCCCTGCGTGCCAAAGCAGCCTTGGGGTTTGAGGGAAAGGTAGGGGGGGGGGTGGGGGGGTGATATTAGCATTTTAACAGTGTCTCGTTAGCATTGTGTCCCTGCGGTCCGGTGGACTTCATACACATGCTCATTCTCAGCATTTTCAGACCGAACGTGAGAGTTTTTGCTGCTGGGATGGTGACACTCTCCCCCCTGTATCACAAACCACCAACAACCCAGAAATAGAAAAGCCCCACAATCATAATAACTCTGTTTACATGTAAAATAATTTTCATATGAATATTTTACTTAACAGCCACTCACAGTCAGACAGAAGTTCAACAAAATGCAATTAAGTGTGCATGCGTGGGGAAAACCTCAGACATCTAGATTCCAGGTTTAAATGCAAATAACAAGAAGTGTGATGTACAGCCTGGGTCTTTAAATGTGTTTTTTTTGTGAATTAATGTCAGCTGTTTCAAAAGTTAATTATAATTAATTATGACTTATGAGGATTACGAGAGTGACGTCCTTATGCTGAAGCAGATTTATCCTGACAAAGTGTGGAATTTCACACTAACTGAGCCCGTTCTCCGTTCCTCATCCTCCGTGTGGCTGAACACGTCGCCACAGATTTACAGAACACAAATTTACCGAGTTCATAGAGAATAAATTACGGCAGCTGGATGGAAATCAGTGAATGGATGCAAATTAGTTAATGAATTAATTACAGATTCAATAATTTATCGAGGTGCCGGAATGCTTCCTTCAGATGGGCAAGGCTGAGTATGTGGAGCAGATGAGGGCAGCGGAATCAAACATCATCATCATTTTAATACCTCTTGAAAATTTAATTAACCCCGTAAGTGAGGAGGGAAACGAAAATCAATTCAATTTAAAGAGGCAAAGATGAAATTTGGGGGGATGGAGTCTCTTGTCTCCGAGCCACACACCGACCACTTCTACAGCTTGTTCTGCGAGACTAACTGCATGATTAGATGCAGAGCCATCGATTCACACCGGTCTCTCTTTGTGCTTCTTCTGCTGCCCGAATGCTGCGGATGTGGACGGCGGGACTGGCGGAAAGTGCCATCCCTCGAGAGTGTCCACTCTCATACTGCGCCATTGTTCTACGAAATCAATTCGGTCTGACACATCAGTCTGAAAAGCCCCCTCCCCCCCCCCCCCAACCCCGATGCATCACGAGGCGACAGACTAAAAGCCTTTGCTCCGGGGGGGTCTGTTTGTGTGTGAAAACCGTGATCTGATAGAACATGTTGAGTCGTGATGAAGCCATCAGCATAGAGTGCTGTTCTGCTATAAACGGAAAATAAAGTACCAAATGGGAATTAGGGGTCAAAAGTAAGAGAGTTGGAGAGATGTTGTGGTGCTCTTTGGGGATCTTTGGGGAATGAAACATGCTCCACAAACTACATGAAATCTTGTGCTCATCTCTAAACTCTTCACCCAACTATACTCCTATATTCTACCGCTGAACTATTTAAACCATTCTAGCACCCACGTCCTACCCAAAGTACATTGCATGATGTGGAAAAAGATGCATATTTCCAAAATCCAGCAGTATCTGGGGTTTTTACTGAGACGATAAGCATTGGGTACCATTTGGCTGTCAGTATAATTCGCTTTAAAGTTTCTTATAATAAGGATAAAGGTCTCCTTACCTTGCCAACATACTGAGGATCCGAGCCCATGTACTCCTCAAGCACGAAGAACTGATTCCACACCCAACTCCGCCTGACCCTCTGAGACCCTGGTGCCCAGCTCCTCTTCAGTGACGCCCTGCTCCTGTGGTGCCACTTTCCCAGCAGACCGTGGGGCGCGAGGAGGCCTTCATCCAGGAGAAACCAGAGGAACAGCAGGAAGCAGTTCCTTGCATGCATTGGCATTCCCGGGAGCGGGCAGACGACCCCGTCAAGTGTCCGCAAGCCGGTGAGACGGAGTTCGCTCATATACTCCACCCGGCGTGCCTGATGATCCGTCGTTATCTGACGCCTTGGTAGAAACTCTCCTCTCAGATCCCTCAGATCACAGCTGGATGACAAACGAAAGGGATGGATTCAGTTACGTTTTTCATGTTACTACCCTGTTTCACCTCGATTTTAAGTGAGTTTGGCTCATCGCCGGTGAATGAAGAGGTGAGTCAAAACTAAATGGACACTCAAGAACCTTGTACAAATGAATCTTTGCAAGGAACGGATTAATCATTTTAAGAGTAACAATAAAATATTCCTGGCTACCATAAACATAATACACAGAAGAAGGGACACAAATTTCCCACAGAAATGGTGTCTTTAATACCATTGAATCATTGCAAAAATGAAAGTGTTACCCATAAATTTTAATTAATAATTTCTTGCTTTAAAATGGTGGCAGAGTGAGTAGCAGTGATGCCTGACACCCCCCGGCAATAAATTCTGACTCTTCACTGCGTACAGCGTTTGCTTGCTCTCGCCATGTTCCGTGGACGTCCACTGGGTGCTCCGGTTTCTTCCTGCAGTCCAAAGACATGCAGGAAGCCTAATTGGTGTCTCTAAATTGCCTGTAGCATTTGAGCGTGTGTGTGTGTGCATGTGGCGTCTCTGCCCAGTGCTGCCTGGGAGACTTTCCAGGCTCCTCATGGCCCTGATCAGGATAGGATTAGTTCAGATTCATATGAACTAATCTAGAAGCACAGGCTTTTATAATTAATATTTATGATGTGTTCAACTAATTTGTAATAGCAAATATCAGATGTGACATAGATGTTTAAGCATTTTAAGAGCAGAAAACAAATAAGGAGTCCTGCTGATCGATAAAAAAATAAACTATTGATCACACAGTTTTCTGTGATTAATCGCGATTAATCATGCCTAACATTAAAATCTACAATCATATATATTTTCACATTGAATCCCTAAATTAATATAGACTTAAGACAAAGCGGAATATATAGTTCTCTCCTCTCGCAAACTCATTACCATAACATATCCATTTCTACTTATTTTTAAAATTAAAGACAGGCTCAAATTATACAACTTCATTATCGAAACTGTTGATTTTGCCTCTGGAGTAGTTAATCAGTTTTGTTATGTTCCTATTTAATTCTGTAATAAACGTAAGTATTTCATGAAATCCAGACTTAAAGAGATTAGAAACAATGAGAAAAAACTGTGCAATAATATACATTTAATCATACAAATTTATTGTTTATTGTGACTTACATGCAATAAATTAAAAATATATAAACAACATTTGATATAGTTTTCTGTTCTTTGATTTTTGGGATGGTGGTTCAAATCAGATCAGAGCAACAAATCACATAATTTTAATATATCTAACATGTTTAGGTAATGTCAATTGCTTTACACAAAAAATAAATACAGTATTTCATTGGAATTGTTGTATTTTTTTAAACATCTTTTAATATTTGCTTAATGGTTTAATTTGTACTTGTGATGAAGAGTTTGTTCTGTTCCACCAAAAATACCACTTACAAGCAAATAAAAACTGAATTTCAATGGTTTCAGAAAGGTTAGATGCACACATGGCAATAAGACGAGAAGGTATCGTATTATTAGTATGCCAACTAAACAATATTTTTTTTAACTGCACACCTGTTTTAATTCTATGTATGTGTCCATCTGGCAATTTTTTAAAATGAAATAAACCAAGTACCGTCAGCTTTCCCATGAGACGCTAACTGAATGTTTTAATTTTAGCTTTGACTTCCTGCTTCCAGGAAGGAATCAACATGAAAATGTTAGCTCATGCTACTCTCCCATTTGGCTATCAAAAACCTGCGTATGTTACCGCGATTAAAGGCACAATAGCACGTTAAAATGAATGTGACTCGTTAGCACAATTTCCGAGCCCTACTAATAAGACTGTACAGTATGTTAACTCAAAACCAAAGTAGGTTTTCTTTAGGATGGATCTCAGGATTGACTGCAAAACCCAAACCTGCAAACTGGCCTCAGATAACAGAGTGTCTACCTGACAATACCCCAGCAAATCTCCTGCGATAATCAGGCCCAGAAGCAGACAGTGATTGGGAACATGCTACCGATCTAGGGCTTTATCATAATCATTACGAAGACTCTATCCCTGTAGAACTAAGCCCAGTCTCTGTGGGTCTGTCTTTCTTCGGTTAGGACTGTGCAGTTGTCGTTGGGTAGCCGGAGGTTGTTGTCACTTTGGGGAAGAGAGGCGGTTTTAATGAGTTTAAGGATTTTTTTTTATTGGCCTGTGGGATAATTCGATTTTAAAGTGATCTAGTTCTGGTTTTGGAGAAATAATGGCCCCTCACCAACAATGCAATGCAACTTTTATTTTACTGTACAGCGATGTTCATGGATCAGAAAGCATAGACCATAGCACTGTCATGTTAATATTGTGTAGATTCTAAAAATAAACTATAAATAATGCACAGTGCTGGGAAAGGGATTATTTACAATTATTTTCTCACTATTTCTTTTGACAACCACCAAGCATAATGGCTGTTTACTATGCAAACGGCCCATCTGCTTGTGATAGTTTACCCACGGCGTTTTTGCCTTAAATGGAAGCCTGTCTTTTTCGGATGCTTCTCCGCGTAAGACCTTCTGCGCGGACAGCGGCCCGCGAGGCTCCGTGGCAGCGGCCCGCGAGGCACCAATCAGCCGCTTCCATTATAAACTCAGATAATTGTCTTAGATATATATGCGACCTCCTGCTCGTCTGTTAGATTCAATTTTACAAATGCTTTGAGGTATTAAAGGAATGACTTGCTTACTTAAGGTTATTTAAACTGTGGTTTAATCTCAGAGACCGTTCTTTATGATAATTCATCTTTGACTAACCAAGCATGTACAAGACAAGCGTAGCATACAAATGGACATCAATACAGCTTAGGCATAATAAGCATGTAGATTATTTCATGGTCACCAATGTGCATTAAACTAGCCAAGTATAACACAGGTGACCTTGTGAAAGAAGGGCCTCATCCAATATGGCGTGTGGCTTGGCAGATTAGGATGCTGTGCTTGTGATCGGAAGGTTGCTGGTTCACGTCTCAGGGTCGGTATAGTGATTTCAGTGTTGCGCCCCTGAACCCCAATCGTTTCACGTCTGAACCGGCTTTCTCTTAAAAATGTATGACACTTCGGCTAAAAATGTCCCCTAAATGAATAAAACGTAAATTTTATTTAGTAATGAGGCTTAATCTAAGGTGTGTGACATTATCCACTGGTCAAGTGAAAAGGTCCAATCCAGCTTGAAGTGATGAAGTATATTTTTAGGTATATTCTGGTTTGTCACACATTGTAACTATAAACTGATTCGTAATTCCATAGCTAAAATTTGTCTGACTAAATTAGCTTAATGTACGTTCTTAACGTTCATTTCTTCATTAAGCATATATCTGTACATGTTGCTGTTCCGGTACGGCTGAAATATCCTGACTTATAGCTAAAACACGTGTTTTCTGTGTGCTGCACTCAGAGCCGTGTCTGTGCCCAGGACAGGGTACTGTGCACCGCGTTAAGGTCCGACATTCATCGACACTTGTGAGGTTTGGGGAAGTTAGGACACATGCATGTCACTCTAAGCGCCTGTCATAATTATTCCTGTTGCTCTTCGACATATTAACAGATGAAAATAACCTGATCTATACTGAATATTATAGATATTAGGTAAGTGTGTTAAGCACTGCATTTTCTATTGTTACCCATGACCCTGATCCAGATAAGTAGATGGCAGATGGGTAGATAGATTTAATTTTGCTTGCTCTGCGCTCTACATTTAAGATTAAACTGAAAGGGAATCCAGATATGCTAATCAGCACGAGCATCTTTGTGATTGTGATTATTTTACATAATATTTCTACAGAGGAAGCCAGCCAAATAGCGAGCTAATGTAAACAGATTTGGACATATGTGTGTAATGTTGGCAGAGGAGCTAGACGGGAATGACTCACTGTTCTCACCCATAGAATGCGCTTTGTCGTGTTTTCTGATTACACTTTCTGATTATGCTCCAGTGGGATGAGGTCTTTCCAGCTCAAGAAGACGGGTTTGTTTTTGCTCAGAGGTAACGGCGCGTAGGAACATGAGGACACCAGCGAGGAAACACCCCCCCCCCCCACCCCCCCAAAAAATGTCAGGCGGTAAAACACAGACAGGAAGTGGCCAAATAAATGATCAGCCTGTAGCTGATGAATAATTAATGGATTAATGAATAATTAACAAAGCCAAAAACCGAGCCTCCACTACGGATTGTGGGCTCTCTAATCGACTGGCTTACCAAACTCAGAATTCAGCATTCTGCAGATTCCCTGCCCTGCCTGCACACGCTCCCACCGCAAACTATGGCTTGTGGGGATATCATAAATTTGGCCTTTCACAGTTCCATTCAAAGATCAGTCACCCAGGTAGAAGATACTGGGGGGGAGGGTAAGTGGGACACTGTGTCTGTGATCAGAAGGTCGCTGGTTCAGATCCCAGCTTCTCCATGAGGTTCCTGAGCAAGGCCCTTAACCCCAGTTGCCTCAAGGACTGACTAACTCTGCTTTTTCAATTGTACATTGCTTCAGATAAAAGTTGTCATCATACCGTGCCAGCAATTTGATTCTTTCCGATGGCTCTTTTGTACAAAGGAAAGGAACAGAGTCGTATTGAATGCTGTTTTTTTTTTTATTGTTGTTCCCAAATTGCACTGCCTGCCCTAAATCCAATCCACTCCCTTTTACATGGACGGTGAGAACCTCTAAGTCATAAGAGGCAGATTGTGTTGCTTTAAGTTCCTTAAAGGCAGAATGAGCAGGATCTGTGTCAATAAAACGATTTTTAATATTAAGTGTTCCGTGAATTGCATTCAAGACAAAGAAACTTTATTTACATAAAACATTTCAGACAGAGGGTAAATTCAAAGCGGTAACTTCACAGGCAAAGCAGAGCGATATGGCGTCACCTTGTGTAATGTTTGCAATGCAGATCAATGACATTAGGCTGGGCAATGCGAGCAATGTAGTGCTGTTACACCTAGTCAATGCATGCAACATAATATAGCAAGTAATT